TTCCTTTATCCTGAGGGCCATCATCGCTTGAATATCCAGAACATTCCTCATCCTCGCTCCCATCTTCCTCCTCATCTTCTGATTTACCAGAACCTCCAGACTCCTTCCCAGAATGGATCACAATATGGGCCAGAGGGGCTTTAGGCTAGGAAGCTCCGGCAATAAGAGGGGCAGTATTAGTCATCAATGCAGTGAAGTCAAGACCTAAGTCCGGAGGTGCTGTGCCTGTCACCTGATCACCATCTGTGGGAAGGAGGGATGATAGATCGAACTCCAAGTTCTGCATCTTTTAGAGCTCGATCTTCATAGAAGCAACCTCCTTCTTGAGTCCAGGCAACCCACTAAATTCACCCCGCTCTATCTTCTCCACCCTCAACTCAAGTTGCTATAGACGATCCTCATATTTTGACTGTTGCTGTTGGAGGGTCGTCACTGAGGATTGCATGGGCATCAGGGCTTGTTTGATTAGATTTGGCAATGTCTTCAAAAGCTGATGTACTTTGGCATTGGCATGCTGAGCTAGTAGACCAAGCTTCAAGACAGCAGGAATGGTGATGGCAGGCTGGACAGTGGTGGACTGAGAAGCAGGCTCGGAAGTGGAAGTGGGGGACACTGTAACCTGAGGAGTCACGGTGTCTGGGAGTCACTGTGCTCTAGATCAATCGGATCTTGGACCTGAACCTGTGATGGGGCAGCAGCAATAGTGATACGAGAGATATCCATGATACGTGTGATATCAATATCCCTCGTTTCCTTTCCAGTTTTATCAGTTGGCAGGATGGGAACTTTCACAGCTTTACACAGAGCTGTGATCAGGCAAGGGAAAGGAAGTGAAGTTGCATGCTGCATTGCTCGGATCCCTATTTCTTGGAAGATCAACGCTCCCACATCTATCTTGATACAAGTCATGATGCAAGCAATCAGAAGGGCCTTCTCGATGGCTATTTCAGTTTCATTTTGAGTTGGTACCAACCGAGAAGTGACAAAACCGAGCCAGTAGCGACCCTCTCTCGTGAGATCTTCCTTATATATCTTGTGTTGAGGATCAACCCAAGCGGGAGTCCCTTTTGCTATCACTGAGGCAATCCATCCACATTCATTCTCCTTATTTTTGAATTTTTCAGTGTACTCAGTTGTGCCTGCTCTCTATCCTTTGAAGTAAAACTCATTAAGGGCCTCAATGTTGCAGAAAACAGTCTTTCCCCGTACAAGCACTTGGTCGGTGAATACTTTGTTGCGTTTGTGGTATTTCGTCCTGGAGGCCCCATAGGATGCATAGAATTCCCTCACAAGGGTCTCATTGTAATCCGTGGGTGGCTCAGTGAAGTTCTCCCATCTCCGTGTTTTTATGTTTTCCAGGATATGGGGGTATTTGTCTTTGAGCCCGTTCAAGCTCAATTATTTCTCGCCCAGGATTTTGCGCTTTGTGAGCCTTTTTCTAAATACCTCCCTGGACCCATCAACCCCAAATCGGAGCTGGAAATCTTTACCTCATTTCCTTCTCTCTTCAGCCTCTATATTGATTGAGGGCCTGAGCTCCTCCGCCTCAGACTGGGTGGGGCTCGGCATGTTGTCCTCTATCCGCGATCGCTTACTAGTGGAAGCCTGCTTTGATGAGCGTCTCTTTTGACCCATATCTGCACAATGGTGAAGAGTGAGTGACATCATTAACAATATGGAGAAGATACAGACGAATCAAAAGCAAGAAAGAAAATGTGATTGGGTCTGCGATCGCAAAACCATAATGCGGACCGCAGACTTGTCGCAGATCTTGTAGTCTCAACTGGTGGTCTCATTCTGCGGTGAGTTATGTTGTCGCATAACTACTATGCGGAACGCATAACCATCGCAGAATTGACATGGCTATATGGTTCAAAACTGAAATCTCTGTATCAATCTGCAGTGAATTTGCGGTCCGCATGTCAAATCTGCGATCGCAAAGACACCGCATTTCATCATCTTCTTCAGAAGATTTAGGGTTTAGTTGTGCGGCCAAAATGCGGACCGTATTTTCACAATGCGGGCCGCAGATGCCTTCTTCTACACAGGTCACCCAAGCTTTCAACAATGGCGGTCCTATTTCATTTTACCAGGTACCCCAAATTATTTTCAACCCAAAAGCATCTACACTACAGAGAAGCAACTACACAAGCATCTAAACACATTTTTGCACATGATTTTAATGAAAAATCTTTGAACCTACAGTGGAAATCAAAGATAAAATGAGGGAGAAACGGGTACATACCAGCAGAGTTTGAAGATTGGGACAATGAGTGTGACAAATGGAGTCCTTTGGTTGTACACAATTTGAGCTTGATTTGGTTCGAAGTCCGTTCGTGTTCTTCCCCCCTTTTTTCTTTTTTTTTTTGTTTTGTTTTAACTGAGTGAGAGACGAGAGGGTTATGCAGACTTACCTTGTCAATTCTACAATGGATAGGACACCGCATAACACACAGTGCGACCGCATGTGTGTTATGCGATGAGGTTAAGGACCTAGCTAAAGGGAGGCAAATGCGGTGCAAAATGCGGTCGCATAAATTAAATGTGGACTGCATAATGCACCACCTCACCACATTTTCAACCACAATTTTAACCCAAATCTCTGCTTAGGTATGCAGTCAGAGTGCGGTCCGCATAGCTAAAATGCGACCGCATTTGTGCAGCAGAATTCACCTAGTGGTTTTTCTTCCACTTTTTATGCATTCGTAATAATTGTTGTGATCTTTTGAACCCCCTGCACTCTAACACACACTTTAAATTGCTCAAATAAATCTATCTATCAAAAACAAAAAATTCATAGAACAAAAGAGTGTTACCACACATGGGTTGCCTCCCATGAAGCGCTTGATTTAACGTCGCGACACGACGAAGTTGATGTTCCTTTGGTTTCACTCAATGGTCCGGCATGGACCATCTTTGAGAGCCAGCTACTCCACCAAATGTTTTTCTCCATCAGTGCCCAAGTAGTGCTTGATGCGTTGGCCATTTACCTTGAATGTCCGGGACCCATCTGTTGATTCTAATTCCACCGCTCTATAAGGAGAGGCATTGACCACTTTGAATGGACCGGACCATTTTGATTTAAGCTTGCCCGGAAACAATTTGAGTCTTGAGTTAAAGAGCAAGACCAAATCACCCGTCTTGAACTCTCTTTTCAAGATCTTCTTATCATGGACAAACTTCATCCGTTCTTTATACACAGCTGCACTTTCATAAGCATGGAACCAGAATTCCTCCATTTCATTGAGTTGTGTTAACCTCAAATTTGCAGCTTCAGCCCAATCTAAGTTCAGCCTTTTCAACGCCCACATAGCTTTGTGTTCCAATTCCATGGGTAGATGACATGCTTTACCAAAGACTAGCCGATAAGGAGAAGTACCAATAGGGGTTTTGTAGGCCGTGCGGTATGCCCACAATGCATCATCTAGCTTCCTTGACCAGTCGGTCCTATTTGCGTTCGCAGTTTTTTCTAGAATGCTCTTGATCTCCCAGTTGGAAACCTCAACTTGACCACTTGACTGTGGATGATAAGGTGTGGCCACCTTATGCTTTACGCCATACTTCTCAAGCAGCCCCGAGAATGCCTTGTTACAAAAATGAGATCCACCGTCACTAAGGATGGCTCTAGGAGTGCCAAACCGAGTGAATATGTTTTTCTTCAAGAAAGCGGTCACACTCCATGCCTCATTGTTTGGTAAGGCAACTTCTTCAACCCATTTGGACATGTAGTCCACAGCTACCAAGATGTATTTCATCCCGCAAGAACTTACAAAGGGGCCCATGAAGTCGATTCCCCACACGTCAAAGATCTCTATCTCCATCACAAAGTGCATTGGCATTTCATGCCTCTTGGAGATTGAACCTTGTCATTGACATTGGTCGCAAGCCTTGACCATCTGATTGTCATCATGGTAGATGGAAGGCCAATAATACCCACATTCAAGAACTTTAGCCGTCGTCCGATTTCCTCCATGATGACCCCCAACCAGTGAGTCATGGCATGCCTTGAGAATTGGCATAACCTCTTCTTCGGAAACATACCTTCTAATAATATTGTCAGCACAAACACGGAACAAGTATGGTTCCTCCCAATAGTATTGTCGGCAGTCTCTCAAAAACTTCTTTCTTTGATAAGATTCCAATCCGTCCGGGATAAGGTCACTAACCAAGTAGTTAGCAATATCGGCATACCAAGGAGCAAAAGTGCTAGATAATGTCAATATTTGCTCATCAGGGAATGCATCGTTGATTTCAAGATCTCCTTGTGGTCTCCCTGCTTCCTCAAGCCTTGACAAATGATCCGCCACTTGATTTTGAGTTCCCTTGTGATCTTTGACTTCGAAGTCAAATTCTTGCAACAACAAGACCCATCGAATTAATCTAGTCTTTGCATCCTTCTTTGCCATGAGATATTGAAGAGCCGCATGATCAGTGTATACCACCACCTTGGACCCCAACAAATAAGCCCGGAATTTTTCAAAAGCATACACAATAGCAAGAAGCTCTTGCTCAGTTACCGTGTAGTTCATTTGTGCCCCATTGAGAGTTTTACTTGCATAGTACACCGGGTGGAGAACTGTGTTGTGACGTTGGCAAAGCATTTCTCCAATGGCTACACCACTGGTGTCACACATGAGCTCTAAAGGAAGTGAACAATTGGGCGTGACAATAATGGGTGTCGTGGTGAGCCTTTGCTTTAACTCCTCAAAAGCTTTAAGACAGTTCTCATCAAACACAAACTTGGCATCCTTTTCGAGGAGTTTGCACATGCGGTTAGCAATTTTGGAAAAGTCCTTGATGAAGCGCCTATAAAACCCGGCATGCCCTAGAAAACTTCTAACACCTTTCACGGAGTTCGGTGGAGGAAGCTTAGAAATAATCTCAATCTTTGCCCGGTCGACTTCAATACCATGCTTTGAAATTTTGTACCCAAGCACAATGCCTTCGTCAACCATGAAGTGATACTTCTCCCAATTTAGCACAAGGTTGGTCTCTTCGCATCACTTAAGCACTTGTCTAAGATTGTTAAGACAATGCTCAAACGAATCACCAACCACCGAGAAATCATCCATGAAGACTTCAAGAAAGTCCTCAACCATGTCGGAGAAGATGGACATCATACACCTTTGGAAAGTGGTCGGAGCATTGCACAAGCCAAATGGCATCCGGCTAAAACCAAAAGTGCCATACGGGCAAGTGAACGTAGTTTTCTTTTGATCTTCCAAAGCGATGTTGATTTGATTATAGCCGGAGTAACCATCAAGGAAACAATAAAATGACCTCCCTGCTAGCCGATCAAGCATTTGATCAATAAAAGGCATAGGGAAGTGGTCCTTGCAAGTAGCACTGTTAAGTTTCCGATAGTCCATACAAACTCGCCATCCGGTCACAATTCACGTTGGAATGAGCTCATTCTTCTCATTTTCGATCATGGTCATGCCACCCTTTTTTGGCACACATTGTACTGGGCTCACCCACGAACTGTCGGCAATGGG